TTGAACACATACATAAGAAAGAAACGTTTTCTTTAAAAATATTATTAATTTTTGTGGAGTTTTCTTTACTTTTAAGTTTTTAATTTGATTACTAACTGCGGATTTTAAGAGCTTCTTGGCGGTTCGCTGATCTTTCTTATTATATACCACTCACTGCCTTATTCCTTCAACATATTTAGCGTGATCATATTGAGTACATCGAAGCTCTCTGACAATATTGTTACAGTAAAAATACAAAAATACAATTTTCAAATAATAATTCGAAATATTGCCACCATTTGATATATTTCAATTGGCAGTCTGGCGAAATCTCAACTACAATAATTTAATTTTTATTCTATAGCTTTGGGACTACCCATCAATTTCGCTTTAGTTTAAGAAGCCATAGTTTCACATTTTTTGGGGATTGTACGCTTCGAAAAATTCGATCTGTAAATGTAAGTCTCGTGCTTTCATTTATAATATAAAAAAATTGTACGCATTATTTATAGTCTTGTAAAAAGCGGTAATTGCTGGTTGATTTCGTTTCGTTGGCATCAGAAATTTCATTAATAAATTATCTTTTATATTTAAGAAATATAAGTTGAAGTTGTTAAGTTAAATTTTTTGTTGTTGTTAAGTTGAATTTTTTAAACAAGAGACATTTATGCAATACTCTACCATATAGCCCGAGAAGCACGATACGCATATTTCTGCAGAGCGCTCTTATAGTAGGCTACTCAGTATATTCGATATATCTCACCCCAAAAAAGAGACGAAACGCAAAAAGCAAATTTAAATATTTCCTCCAAGCAACTTAATTTAAAACGCTGAGATAAATTAATTGTGCAATCGCCTCCATTCCAAATTTTTGCCCCGGAAAGAAGACAAATTTATTGAGACTTTAAAGGATAGCCAGCAACACTAAATCAAGATAACGCGAATCAATACCTAATGGTCTTTACTGACGAGCCAGGCACGAAGTACACACGTTATTGCTGTTCCGATGCACAGCGTTGCAAGACATATACCGCCGCACGTACAACGACAGCTACAGCAATAAATGCTACTGCACTCTAAATAAATCATGCAGCCAATCAAGCGAAAGCTCCACAGATTAGCGTGGGTAAGCAAGCACTGGACAGCATTGCAGTGAGAATTCTTGCATCGCGCATGCATGATAGTTCGTGTGTATTTTCAGAGCTTAATATACTCGACAATGCTGCAAGTTACATCGCTTTATTGTGAAACTCTTGCCGCCTTTCATAGGCAATACCGAAAATTACCATTGACTGGAGTGTCTGGTAGAATTTTAACTTATCAGTGGATCATTTGAACTCGATCAGTAAAACAATAATTTTTTAACCATATACACAGCAACACAAATTCAAGTATGAACCAATTTCACAACCAAATTCACGAATTTACTTTGGTTAGCGAAATTAAAATGAACTGCTTTCCTTTAATAAATAATTATAATATTTCCAAATCAGCATATTTGTGCTTTTTCCTGATTAATTTTACAAAATATATAATTGTTTTATTGAACTGGTTTTAAATTGTATTATTGAACCAAATACGACAGGAAATCAGCTAAAATTTAAATCAACGCACTAATGTCCTTAAATAATAGTGCAAATTACAAACACAATTAAAAGTTTCACAGAAGGAGACGTTGCCATCGCTGTCAATGCAAGACTTTGTTCAGAAAGGTCTAAGTTTTGTTCATATAGTAAACGACCTCGAGAAAACAGACGCTTCATGCCAAATTTTCTGAACGCCGCAATTGTATACGTAGTTTGCGCATTGCACCAATTTTTCGTATTATCAATGAAAGGCTCAAAATATTGGTCCGAATAACAAGCGAAACAGAGAATGATGTAACTGCAGGTTGTATTATTCAGTATAAAGTTAACTAATTTCTCACATCAGTCCAAATTACTAGATATATATCAACTGAAGATCTTCCTTGGGGATCGTAAACCTGCAAACAAGCCAGGCAAATAGAGAAAGGCCTTTCATTTGCTCGTATAAAATAATACGGCCACATCCTACGTAATTTGACATGCAGGCCAATTCTTTTCTGGGGCCGATGGGAGTAAACCTAACCCTACATAAAAGTTGATCGTAAAACGCTCCTGGCAACATCTAAGAGTCGACCCAACGAGAACCCATCAACAGGTGGGTCTGGGTCTGGGTCTAACAAATGAAATTACAACTCACGGAAATCATCTAGCAATTAAAAGAAACTCTTTAGAGTATTTTTTTTTGTGCAGCGCAAAATCTACCAACAAAAGATTAACATTTCTTGTTGTTACATATATTTTCTTATGTTAACTGATTCGGAGAATAAGTTTTCGCACTCTTTAAGTCTGAAATTTTCTTTGATGTATTTCTTGTTGTTCAGCTTTTTAAGTTGCACAGAGCTGGGAACGCAGCATCATCTGCTGAATTATCAGCAGATGATGCTCAGATCAGCAGATTTCAGCATCATCTGCTGAATTAATTATATATTATTATTGTTGAGGCTCATCGACCAGGGTAAGCTAGTGTGCGATGCCATTCTAGCTCTGATCGTAAATTGTCTTCAGGTAGCCGGTGGTTGCTGCACTTGAGCAAATATTGCACGTGAATTGTTTATTGAACTGGTTAATACAACGATACTTTGGAGCAAGATTAGCAATGGTAAACGTAATTAAATTAATTCCGTGAGTAAACTAATTAATTTACTCACTTTGTAGCTTTGGATCAGTCAAATAAAGCAAATAATCATGCGTATACATGGTGTAGTCCCATCAAATATTTTGACAACAAATAACGGGAACGAATATTCTTCATGAAAATGGGGGTGATTCAAAATTACGTGTATAATTTGATTTGTCTGTTCAGCCTCGCAAACAAGTTTGTTAGTGGACTTTCATTAGCGAAATGTAACCTCAGTGATCGGCATCAAATAAATTCTTGATATGCCGCATTTCATTCATGATGTCGCGTGCAGTTTATAGTGCGTTTGCTGGAAGCCCAAAATTCTTGCTTTTAAGACTTACCTTTCTCAAGTAAACAGCGGAAGAAATTTTCGACCAATAAAAATAAGAAATTCGGAGAAAATTAACTCCTGCAAGGACTGAAAATGCGTTGCGTGTTGCGAGAAGTTTATGCATTTCGCAATATGATATTTGAAGGAGGATAGAAACTTTTTCTTCATTATAATCTTACATAATACAAAGGCCTCAAAAACGCCTTCTCTACTCAGGGTGTCTTCCATCAATCTGTGATCATTGCATCTTCCGTCCTAGTGTGATAAATAATTCTTTTACATAAATAAACATTTAAATTTAACGCATATTTACGTTCTATTAATTATGTATAAAAAGAATAGGCACCTATATGAAACATTCAGTATGGTTCTGTAACACCAATTTAATGTTATTTTTTACTAACTAAATATCGTCTCACCTTTCCTGAAGCTTTTAATAAATATATAAATCCATATTGACCATAAATCCATTTTGACCATATATTGACCACCTCTAAATTACCTCAAGCCCCATTCTTTTTAGCACATTTTCTCATTTATGGAAAAAATGCACTTATGTGCTCGCCATGTCCGTCCGTCCGTCCGTCCGTGACTTCACGTTTTCGTCAACGAGAAAATGCGCTCTCTGTCACTCACTGCAGTGAGTACTTTATATTTTTTCCTTTGCTTGTTGCATTGCCTGCACGTCTTGTTGTGTCTCGCTAAGCCATTTGACTGCAAATTGCCTGCTTGGTGCCTTTCATATTGCCAGTCTGTTGATGAGAGCCGCTGTCTGCCTGCAAAACAGGCTTCTAAAAAGTCATCTTAATAACCACGTAAAACGCATCAACCTTCCCACGCCTCACCGGTTCTATTTTGTTGATTTTTTTTGGCAATTAGAAATCATACAAACACAGCGTGTACAGGGAATAATAGAAAGACTTTACTTATTTAAAGTGAGGAATGAACTTTCATACGGGTGAAATTTTTGTGGTATTTTGAAGCATGAAATGACTCAATGTTGAAACGGAACTTTATTTATTAACTTTCTCCCTCTAAGAAGTTCGCAGAACAAAGACCGCATCATCAAAACATGACAAATGAAGTCGTCAAGTCATCAAAATAATTACGTTCATAAAGCCAACAACATTAGGGCATTATTTTATCACGTAATAAAACTCATTGAATTGAAGCACTCAAGCCCAGAAATTTTTAATCAAATTCTATCAATAGATTCACAAAACCAGATGACCTTCAACTGTTTCGTCAGGTCCTTGAAAGAATTATACATAAGCGACATTTCGCTCTGCATGCTCTAGCTATTTCTCAAGGCATCTCTCATCGACGTCGACCGCAAACAAGGTCAACGAACTTCACATTTTCTTTCATCGTTCAGAATCCAAGACTCGAAACTATAAAGTGTCAAATTTTTTCTAACTATTATTAAACTAAAAAAGTGTCTGCTACAGAAGAAAATAAACAATGTTTTCGAACACTGACTGTAAATGCAACACTTTTATATCACTGATAATCTGATATCAGATACCTTCAAACCAGGATATTTTTCTAGAAGAACCATCATGTACCTCCGTAGCTTACATCTGTTTCATAGAAGCTTCGACGAAACCAAATCCAACACAAGCAAAGCAAATTATTCTAATCTGATTAGCCGTTTAATTCCAGCAGCGAGCTTAGCTACCTCGAGTTCACCGACCACTCCAGAGTTGCCCTAATTTTCAGACGAGATATGAATCTCCAGAAACTTATAGACAATCCTAGCCTTACGATCGTCTTTCACACCAAAAATAGCAACGATCATTTGTCACTCACACTTGCAAGGCTTTGTATGGGTCCTAAAAAGGCCCATAGACCGATGTATATGAACTTGAGAGCACCCATAGGCCCAGAGATATGGGCCCGAGTCGTGAGTGGGACAAAGCCAAAGTCGAAAGCTCCATCGACATCTAACCTGGAACGGCTATTGTTGTCCATAGCTCGTACTCACATGAGGCGGTGGTGCAGCTTAGATGGCAGTGCTCAAATCCAACAGATGCATGGCGAGAGGTATCAAAATATAATTCAAATATCACAGATTGGCAGTGTTTGAGTAGAATGGTCGAGTCTAATGCTAAAGCGGAGTAAGTGGCACGCACACCTCCCGCCAACACCGCTCGACGAGCACTGCCTACTTTTCAAAAAGATTCGTGGCACAGTGAAATTTCGATCCAGAAATCACCCGCAATTTAAATATGTCTTATTTTAATTTTCAATCTCTTGGAAATTCCATTATTAATAGGTTCTCGAAAAATAATTTATTCAGCAACAAAATGAGATTGACATTCATATATACTCACATTCATTCATATGAGAACATTTTATGAAAAATAACTGTTGCAAAGATCAGTGCAAAGATCATCTTTGTTTATAAATCTTTAACTCAGTTGTAATTAATCTGCACGATGATTGCCACAATATAATATGAAAATACATGCCAACAAATGTTAAATATCATCATACTATCAGAATCTTTTCATCGCATTAAAATTATCAACAACTTTGAATAATATAATGGCCTATTGCTCCACTGTCGACACTTCTATTCTATAATCTTCTCGAAATTGCGTACACCCGGCGAGTCTAATTAAATCTATAATAGCCAGTCCGTAGATTTCAAAATCCAGACTTTGCCCGATGAACTTTCTTTGACAATTTAATGATCATAAATTAGGTCCTTCAGTTCTTCACAATACTACAGTATAAAGCTAAAATGCGGATCTAAAAGTGATGTCATAAAAGTAAGTTAGTTTTCAAATACAATAAGAGTTTCAATGTACAATCAACTGTTGTGTTCACAGTCTATTGAAACGAAACTTGTTATATTACTTTAATCAGCCTCTTAATTCAGAGGATTACATTAATTCTCACTAAAAGAAACAATAGAATGAATAATGTTATTTTCAAAAAAATATTGATAACGTTGTGAGGCTTTACGCGATTTGAATGAAAAACATTCGTGAAATACTTAGAAATACCTATTCAAACAAAAAACTTTGGCATTATTCATGCAGTCACAATCTCGTCATCGGCATTAAATCTATTTTCAGTGTACTTATAAATCTCTACATGAACTTTGCATTCGTTCAATTTTTCGTTTTTGCATTCGTTCAACCTGGGATTTTCAGCACCTACTCCGTGACATGTAAACCTTGCATTGCAGGCTATCAAGGTTGAGATTATTTTAGTTCATCCCGAGATTTCCAACACCTACTTCGTCACTTTGAAACCTTGCATTGCACTTTGCAGGCTATCAAGGTTGAGATTATTTTAGTTCATCCCGTGATTTCCAACACCTACTTCGTCACATTGAAACCTTGCATTGCAGGCTATCAAGGTTGAGATTATTAGCTCCACGAGCAATGTTGTGACAGACTGTCAGTTCAGTGTCACGCGATGTCGCTGATATAGTGGCTACAACGGGGGAACAATCAGAAAAATTTGTGGGTAATATTGTAAAAATAGTGACACACTTGATGTATGTATTGCTGATATGTACGTTTTCTGGGTATTATGACCCACATAAGGGTAAAAGTGCATCGGTATTAAGAAAAAGTTTTATTAATTTCTCCTAGTGAAATGGTATAAGCTAAAACTATTCTGGGACCAGTGACGTCATTTAGATCTACATGGCCCAGAACCACTGATTTGCAGATAGTATTTGATTTCATGTTTGTAAAACAGGTGGTTAAGTTGTTTTCAAGTAATTAAGTAAACTGGTTGTAAAGTTGATTGTTATTTTTCCGAAAAAAAAATTATCAATTGGATACGGAAAATTTCATGCACACTTGACGCCACAATTTTGAAGGCCAGCCTATTTTATTTACAGTCTAGCTTGTGACGAGACTTTTTATCGATGCAGTACAATGATGTAATTGACCTTTTTATGATAATGCTATGCGAAGCCTAATTTCCGCACACAAAATGATCGCATTAAACAGTTTTTATTGATTAAGTGCGAGACACAAAAATTGCGAATGATTTATCATACTAAACTCTAGGACTAATTGATTGCTTGGGCAATCAAATTTTTTTATTTTGTGACAAAAACATCGCGCTGTTTACCAAAAAGGATGACATCATAATTTGTACCTTCGAAATACCGTAATATGAAGGAATTGGCTTATTACCACGTTTTTCTTAGCTTCGTTTCGTGTCTGTCTGTCTGTCATCAAATATTTAAACCTTAATTTAGAGCACTTCTGAAGATCCTAGAAACTTGAAATTTGGCATGCATGCTTATGCTGTCTAAAAATTCAAGATTTGATCATCAGAAATGATAATTATAAAAAATTTAGAAAAAAAAAAATTAAAACAAAAAATAGTAAAAAAATAGTACAAATTCACAAATTTATATTTTATATAAAGAGAATTGAGAGAGTGTACCTGACGAAAATAATGAACTGAAATAATATTTGAGTACATAAAATGGTCGCTCACAGTTTGAATAAGTATCATTTATCACTTACATGCAACTGGTTCTAATCAAAACCGATATCTGTTCAAAAAACTATCTATTACTTCTAACAAGATAAACTTTCATTCGAATGCTTGCAGCATCATAGGTTAAACATTTACAACGTTAATTTGGGAATGAATCAATTAAAACGTCGTAGCAGCGCATTGAGGGAAACTTACAATAAAATCATATACATGTATGTAACTGCGGTCTGCATGAAATGGTTTATTGACCATCACAGGAGAGACGCAAATTAATTTTGAGTCCAGACCGTTTTGCGTTTCACTATCATATTGATGCCTAGTGTAACTGACGAAAATGTTTATTTCATAGGAAGTGAAATACTTTCCGTTTCAGAGACCAAGTTGTAAGTTTCAACGACTCAAATGCTGGGAGCATTCTTGTTCTTTCAATCAGCCACCAACAAAACATCTCCACACGCACTTATGAGATACAACAACGAAAAAAACTCCGTTTTAGGTAAAAAAATAGAAAAATAGTAGCGATAAGAATTTTCGTTTACTGTTAAGAAAATTTGTGTTAAATTTGAAGTCATTTTTAATCGAGCAGTACATTTTGCATAGCTTTTTAAAGGATTTTCAAGCACGCGTTCCAAACCAACAATAACTGCGAGCAGACATCTTCCGCTTGAGCCTAAACATGCAAATGACGTTCCTCAACTGAAAATTTATTCAGATGCAACACATATTTATTTAATGAGAAAAATTCAATGAGACGTCTAGCCTATTCCTGACTTTGCCAAGCAATCGCGAAAAATAACGTAGTTCAATACGGTAGAAAGTCGGGCTCATGCGCGTTGGTTGTTCATCGTCCACAGTATCAGATGTGGACCTCAGTGGACCTTTAGCATTCACCTCAGTGAATGCTAGAGCTTGATGAACATTAAAAAAATGCGAGCCAGGTCGCATAGTTGGTCGTGATGAAGCCATCCTGGCACCAAAGACTGACAAAGTCTCATTAGAAAATTCCAAAGACACTGGCAGGGTGGCCCAGTGGTTACAGTTCAGAGTACCAAGATTGGCGCAGAGAGACGCGGGTTCGATCCCAGCTCTGTGCGCCAGTTTCTGGTCAGAATCGGCGAGGAGGCCGGGCGGTTAAGCACAGCAGAATTGTAGCAGTGAGTTGCGAGTTCGAGCCCGCAAAACGCTGTGAATGTTCTGCGATGTTCAGAATCGGCGACAGGCCTACGGCCTAATAAATGCTGAAACCGCTATTATTATTATTATATTATAGTAACATTATTGCCATTAAAATGCGAGCCAGGTCGCACAGTTGATCGTGATGAAGCCATCCTAGCACCAAATACTGACAAAGTCTCATTAGAAAATACCAAAGACACTGTACCATTATTGCTGGCCAGCACAACGTCGCTGACTTAAGCAGCTCTAATATGTTTAATACATTTTCTTCAACATTTAGACTGTATTCTTCCAGGTTGAATTCCTGAAGAATTGTAATTATTTTCACAACATGACTTAGTATTATTGAAATATTTCTCTCCGTGCACAATATTAATATCTTCCGAATTAAATAATAAAAAATATATAACAATATTACTATTGATAATTTGATGAACACCCGTAACAAGAAGTTTACTTTGAATGCAAAAAAATACATATTGCTAAGCTCATTCTGTGTTCAGTTCTATACTTATTCCGGTCCTTGAAATAATTGCATCGAAATCACACTGATGCTTCACAATCATGATAAAAGAAATAAGTAAGACTTTGTCCAAGAATCGATTTACTTATTGCCCTTGTTTGGGTCATCCTGACACAGTTCAGCCCAAAAAAAATCCGTATCAGTGCTACGCCCTCTCTCGGCTCATGCTACAGGCGGTTTCGAAAGCGTGTCACGATTTAAACAATATAATCCGTGCGTTTTCTGATTTAAGTTTCTGTAAATTTTGTTCGCATTTAGTGGGAGACGGTAACGATTATGATAGATTAATTGCCCCATGTATTGGAGTTGTTCGGCTATTCCTATCCTATTTCATCATGCAGCTTCCAGAAACAAATCGAAGTCAAAATGATGGAATAAAGCACCTGCCAGTGTACTGTGGAGCTCGCGTTGAGTTGGATCTTGGCTTGGGTGCTCAACAGAAGTATTCAAATTGCATCTAAATAATAAAATTCATAGTCTTCATTGGTTCCTTAAGTTGAGACAATCGTTTATATTCTGCTACTGCACTCATTTTAAATCACTTTCCTGGTGAAAGAACCCTACGATGCTGTCGACCTCGCCGTACTTCGCAACTTTTCTACTCACGTAAAACAGAGCCGAAAAAAATATGTCATATAAACCTGCTCGTTGTTATTTCGTTTCTTTTCTTGAAGAACTGTAATGACCAGTATGGAATAAATTAATCTATAATGATTTACTTTATTAAATACATTCTTGACGGATGGTTTTCCTCGATTATAACAATGTCCGTTCCCAAGCACATTCACACTCAAGGCTTTCACCATGTCTGTTCCACATGTCGGTGACAAGAAACAAGAAGAAATGTTGACGCAGGGATGATTTTTACCAGTTTTTTCAGCTTATAATCGTGGCGGTGTTTTTTCAGATACTAGTAATCGTGTTGTGATCCTTTATCCTAATTTACTTTTAAATCTTAAGGTTGCAAAGGAGACGTCGATAACACGCGTTTGACCCAGACGCCGATAACTCAAGCTTCGAACCTTCATAACCTCTAATATTTTACAAAGCCAAATACCCTCCACGTCTAAAATTGCCATCGTTGCATGCCTCGGTACACCGTTAAGTAATTTATTGTCCTTTTTACTTTTCGGTTTTCAAACTCAAGGTGCAGATGCAGGTAGTGAGACAAACAAAAGCTTCATACAATTTGCCTCTAAATATTCACATGAACGACTGATTAGTCCTAGCATTTGAGTTGCTTATTCAACCTGCATTTTAATATGGTTAAAAACTCCAAGTTTTTATCAACATGTAAACATGAACTCAGAAATCTTAATCCAATATCTGCTCCTCAATCTTCACTCTACCGTTACCCCCATGCGGTTATATTTTTAAGCAAGTTGCTCATTGTTCTTATCAAGTCCTTCATGCACGTCAGCGTTAAAATGCAGCGGCCAAACATTAATCCAGGCAACGAGGGAATCAAGGTGTACAATCTTTCTCTGACGCATACTTCACTATACAATAAAACAGTGTTGTTAGCGTTAACAAAGCATTTTGCTGATTCCAGAAAGCGCAGAATTATTGCGTCTTGTATTAAGTTTTGAACCCACGCAACTGTTCTAAGGCTGACATGGCGACAGTGAATTGGGCCACTAATGTCAGCTATTTTGAACTATATGATCTGTCTTGAGCTTCTTTCCACTCGGGTGGCTGAACTTATTCGTTCGAGTTATAATTAAGGAAATATAGCCACGGTGCCGGCTAACTTTGTAACTATAATTTTTCGTGCAGTCTGAGATAAAAGCCGAGAGGCACGCGCGATTTACTATTATTAATAGCGGTTTCAGCGTTGATTAGCCCATCAGACCTGTCGCCGATTCATAACATCGAAGGACATTTACAGCTTTTGCGGTCTGTAATACGTAACTTATTGCTCACAATTTTCTGTGCTTAACCGTTTGATTTTCCTTGCCGTTTCTGACCAGAAACTGGTGCCAACTGGGGGTCGAACCCGCTGCTCTCTGCTCTAATCTTGGCACAACTGTCAACACTGGGCCACCCTGCCCTTTGTCGTGATAGATCCAGAGCGACCTTTTATTTTATTTAACATAACATAACATAATGATGTCAGCGCTGAAATGTAGGCCTGATAAGTTAATAAGTTTAAGCGTTTCAAGAAACACAGTTCTATGCAAATATCCAGCTTATATGCAAAAATCTATATTTTGGTCTGAAATTCTAACTTAACTTCAAATTCAATTTTTATAAATCTAAATTTTTATGTTCGTACGAAAATAGGTATTTCGTTTATTCAGAAGATGTATGGAAATATTTTAAATAATCCAAAATCCGCAGTATGAATGCGGGGGTCACAAATGAAATGGAAAGGTTTTTTATTCAGTAACCTAATTTAGATGACAAGCAAAGCTAGAATTTGTGATAAGTCACTGTTAAGAGATTCGATTCTATCTCGGAGGCAGGCGAGAAGGAATCAGCAATCTTGCTTCTGAATAAGTAAACTCAGAAGTTATAAAATACTTGTCGTGTTCGACGCGTTTGTATTAAATATTTTATAATGTGATTTTTGAACCATTTAAAATTTTTGTTCAACTTTTCATCGATTGAAGTTAGGTTTTCGAAATTTTAAAGAGGTCTTTCTAGATTAAATCAGAACCGAAATTATTGGAAAGTATAGATTAAATGATCTGTGGTACAGGAATCTAGTGAGGGCCTTTGAGTTGAGAGACGTACGTGTTGACTTCAAGTTCCTCAAAAATATATCCGTGAGTTCATTCTAAATAGTGAGAAATACTATTATCACGCCTTTTCAATGTTTAAAATTCTGGCATGTACAAATTTTGTTTTTCGTCCTAATTGTGACTAGTCAGATTCGGAGCATATAAATCTCAGTGCCCGATGTCAAGTTTCCACGGCATGGCAGTATGACTGGACTGGTGTTAATACTTACGTCGCACTTTCAACTTTTCAAGTACCGTTCCTATGGTGCAGGTGCAGTTTTCTTGCGCTCAAGATTAGCATCAAGATATGTTGTTTGATGATCGTATTCTTGATGTCTTACGTCTCGAAGACTAGTACGACAAACGGACAAAGTTTGTTTACGGTTGAATTTAATCAAGACTTAACTTTCACGCCCATGCAGGAGTAGCAGCAATCTTAATATTGCGATGTTCAGTTAACAGTTAAATTGTTGTTATATTTATAGGAGTTAACTATTTAGCCTCTAACTCTACATTTATGTCACATTTCAAAATAGTGTCTTACGTTTATGTATGAAGCTCATTTGTCTGATAGGACAAATGAGCTTGAAGAGTTTTTCCTCTAATTTCAGACTGCTATGACCAGATCAGATGACATTGTGGTTTTTACAAAGTTGAGACTTTTTAGTGTCACGCTTGAAAAGCTGTCAATGCTGATCGCTGAAGTGCTGAGCAATGAGCATGTGGCGAACAAAAGATTAATTGAATCCAACGGAGAATTGGGTGATTCCATATTTCACAATTTTGGAGTTGAAGCTGTAGGGTAAACGCGGTAAATTCCGACATCGTAGGTAATTCCGTCACCTCTCCAGCTTTTCCTTTATATTAAGCTTTGTTTTAGTTCCATGCGTTCATTGATGGTTAAAATGGTGACGTCATACATTTGCGTGTCGAAATACTGCAAAAACACTAGGTCTTGGCCATCTAGTGGGAAAATATTGAGATTCAAAGAGAGACAATGCATGCCACGTGGTGAGATCATCAAAAAATGTGTCAAATTTGACAGTTGACATGGCTCTACCAAATAGTAAATAACTGTTTTTATAGGAAGAATATTATGGTTTGAGACTTTTAAATACGTCTGTGAATATATTAGGAATCCTTTAAGTATACTTGTATTTGCTGATTTCAAGTCATAAATAAATTAATAGATGATTAAGTTGAGATGTTGGATTTAGACACATGAAAACTAATTCCGACACAACTTGAATTGGACACACACAGATCGTTCAAAGCTTTGTACAAAAATTGAAATTTGCTTAATTAAAAGCCTAATAGCTGTTAATTAAAACGTAATTAAGTACCGTAAAATGGGGTAACTTAGACCACTTTTTTTCTTATAAATGATGCCATTTTCTTACTAGCTAAATTAAACTTGAATTGAAACATGCAAAATACAGGTCTATACTCTAGCTTCACTCACCATAAATTGCTGGCTCCTGCCTCTCATAGTCTTTATGTAATTTCAAAAAAAGTGATGGCCTTTGTTACCCCAGCTCTTGGGGTAACTTAGACCGGGTGGTAAAATCAATTATTTTTTTTTGGTAAAATAACCCCAAATAACTCCAGGTTTTGGTGCATTGTAGTAGAACTCTTCTAGTTACATATGCAAATGACAAACTTGAGGAAAGTGTCATAGTTTGCAAATGGGGGGCGCCACCCCATAATGAGGGAAATGTGACTACCTAATGGCAGCCCTGATGGGGTAATATTGACTGGCTTGGATATTAAGTTAAAATTACCATATGTAAGACTCTGTAGAGTCTGAAACAAAGAAAAAACATAAATAGGCTGTCAAACATAAAATATGTTATATATGGTAATTTTATATTAACTTCCAAGCCGGTCTATGTTACCCCGTCAGGGCTGACATTAGGTGGTCTAAGTTACCCCATTTGGGGGCGGCGTCCCCCATTTGCAAACTATGACACTTTCCTAAAATTTGTCATTTGCATATGTAACTAGAAGAGTTCTACTACAATGCATCAAAACTTGGAGTTATTTAACCAAAAAATAAAAAAATTGGAGGGGGTACTCTGACAGGCTTTAAATAATAGCTTTTTTTCGTGGGTCACATTTTTAATTTTTTAACCTATTAGATATGCAAACTTTTTAAATCTTTCTATTGTGTTATGTAGCCTCAGTATTAGGCCTTTAATGCCCATTGACAAAATTTTTCTATGTCAAATAGTTTTTGAGTTGTGGGGGTTTTTGTAAAAAAAAACAAAAGTGGTCTAAGTTACCACGCCGGTCTAAGTTACCCCATTTTACGGTAGTGTTCAATATTCGTTAGTGTTCTAATTCAAAGCCGTGTTGTATCCCAATACAGCTCACACAGCAAACGGAATTCGAACACGTGGATGTCGGCAATACGTATCAGTTAAATTTGAAGCGCTGACGCAATACGACTCACAACGTGTCAGATATTGCCACACAAAGTGACGGAATATAGGGATTTGGTAGGTTTCCATTCTAAAGGCTTTTTAATAAATATGGCAACATTTTGTGACGTTTCATCGTTGCTGACGCGTAGTGAAGTGTTTTGAGAGTCATGTGAAGGCAACAGAACTTACGTAACGCATACGGCTTTTTTTTTATAGTTTTTCATTTCTCGGTGTGTCCTTAATGTGTCGGAATATACCGCATTTACCCTACCTGGGTGCAGAGTTTGTAAGCTGCATCACCAACACCAAGATATGGATTTTTAGCCCAAAAAGTTGCCAGCCATTTTCAAGATGCGTTGCTGGGTAATTTTTAATAAGTAAATGCTGCTAACAAATTTGATAGTATATCCCTTACTTTCCACGTCCTGCAACACTTAGCTACTCATTGCAACTGATTTCTGGACAAGCTTCACTGCATCCTGATCCATCCAATATACTGGAAACCTTACTGTGTGCATGTGTGGTCTTTCAGATTTCCAACTATTTTCTAAATTGTTGGCCTAAGACTGGCAAATATCTAAAACGCAATAACTACAATCCAAATGTGTTGCAAGAACTGAAGAAGTAAATTTTGCTGCTGATTTGTTGCCAAAGATCTTGTGATATTCACCCACTTTCTGCACCCTGGAATTGCTGTAATAGAATATCACTGGTGTCAACAGACCACAACCTTTCATATTGAATCTAGAAACTTGAACCTTAGCATTTGAGACAGATCTACCCATTGTCTACTTGAACATTGTCAACAATCTTACCTCCTGTCATTTCTATTGAAACCTGGCAGTTACTCCAGGTTCCATAGGTTCTATGCTTATATCTCAAAAAATATTCTACCCAGAGAGTGCAGAGTGACGAAATAAGGTAAATAAATCACTTGTTCAATGTAAATCACCACTCAGCTCTTGCCAATAACATTAAGCACTTGACAATAGGGTTCAAAGCAAAATAAAAGGAGTGTGGTTTAAAATTTTCAATGCATGTAACTACAAAAATATTCAACCCAGCGAGTGCAGACAGGCTGGAATTATAGGATAGTATGTACTATGTATTGTTTCTGTAATTTTGGGGTGTGTGTGTGTAATTACCCTTTTTGGCTTATTTTGCCACCCTGGCCGTGGCGACTAGGGAGAGGTGGTGATAGGTCAATTTTTCCGGGCACTTGGTGCCACTGGTAGTTCCACGACCATCACTGGCTTGCTGACCCGCCAGAACCATTATAGTGTATTACACAACACCCTGGACAAGCCAGGTGCTCATTTATCAACCAGAGTTGGATGAATGGCTGAGTTGACCATGAGCTGAGCTTCCCGGAAGAACTTGTCCTCAGTGGGACTCAAACCCAGGAGCTGGGTGCGAGAGACAGAGTCTCTCACCACTGCCCCACACAGCTCCTGTAATTTTGGGGTTGATACATATCCCTTTCCAGAATATAATAGAATTGGGAATAGAATTTCCTTGTACAATTTGAGCTTTCTGGAGCCAATGGACAATACAATTTGCAGAGGACTATCTCAATTTGATCAATTTGCCAGAAGATTGTAATAAATAACTAAATGTTAAAAACAATTTTCAATCTCAGCATAAGTCTTATTTACAAGATGTAATTTCCCAAAGTAAAATATAAAAAGTCATAATTGTTCTAGAACATCTTTTTTTTTGTAATGACATAAAGGTACACTTTTATTTTCATGATAATTCATTTTTGTAAATTTTTTTTTTTCAACCAATTCTAAAATTCCATACTCCAGTTGGAAAAAGTGATTCATAATAAGTTCACAGTACTTTGGTTGAGTGCAAAGAACAAAGTCTGTAGACTTTGTGGCCCCTAAAATGTATAAGATGTTAAAATTCTCCACCAGTAAAAGGCTGGTAAAAAAGAAAAAGATAAAACTTCTTAGATGTATAATGCATTGATAAAATGTTTCTCATTGGCCGTATTATCAAAATTTTCAGTGGACATTACTTCTTGTATGTGAAGTTGTGTGATTTGCAAGTAAAGAAGTTTTATTGCATTATCAAGACTTACAGATTCAAGTCTTATCTTGAATATTATTATCAAACCACTAGGTGAAGGAGTTGGTTCTTGGAAGGCAGATGGAGGTGGTTCTAGCACCAGTTAACTGATAGGCACAATTAAAATTAATTTACTGTAATTAATCCAGTAATACTCTTGACAAGGCTTTGGCACATGTGTACTATTTTAAGGTTACTAAACCACTCCTGGGTGGTTCAGTCCTCCAGCTTTTCAGTAATCGAAATCTTTAAGAAATATATAAAATATATCCACTATTTAAATACCACGAACTGATCATTTCTGTGTTGTATATAATGAATTATTTGCCTTAAACTTGCTACATAAATTTTGTTCTCGGTGCTCATATGTTCTCTAAAACTGAATTCATTAAAATAATTTTATGAATTTTATTTATACTCATGTAACTAAATCAATCATTTCCTACAGCAGAGGAGTGGTTCATCAACCAACACAGCCATCATGCCTTCAAAATTTTATTTATACTCGTGTAACTAAATCAATCATTTCATACAGCAGAGGAGTGGTTCATCAACCAACACAGCCATCATGCCTTCAAAATTTTCTTTATACTCGTGTAACTAAATCAATCATTTCCTACAGCAGAGGAGTGGTTCATCAACCAACACAGCCACCATGTCTTCAGGAGGGCTACAACACAAAGACCGCTACAAAAATCAAGGTCTCAATGCAAATGAGATGCGACGGCGACGTGAGGAGGAAGGCATTCAACTGCGCAAGCAGAAGAGGGAGCAGCAGCTGGCTAAGCGCAGAAATGTTGTTGAAATTGTTGCTGGGGATGAAGATAATTTGGAGGTGGGTCTAAAATCTTTCAACATTTTTCCATACATTTTTATGGTTTTAATTCATATTTTAACTCCAGTGTAACATATTCATAATGAAATAAGGACTTTGTGTGTTTGCTCATATTGAAAGATGAAGTATTATTTTATTGATGATTCATAATAAAATATTGTGTGCTTGCTCATGTTGAATGATGTATTATTTTATTGATGATTCATAATAAAATATTGTGTGCTTGCTCATGTTGAATGATGTATTATTTTATTGATGATTCATGATAAAATATTGAGTGGCATTTGTGTGCTTGCTCATGTTGAAAGATGATGCATTAATTATGATGTCAATTATAAAAACAGCAGTATAATCCTGTAAAAAATTAGCAGTACACATAAAAGATGTTGTATACACAAATTATATATTCTCATTTTTGTGGAATTATCAGGATGGAAGTGGAGGTGGTGGAGCTGCTGGAGCAAACAGCACCGCTGGTGGGGGCACCTCGCTAATCACCCAAGAAATGGTGCAGGCTCTTTACTCCAACGACCCTGATGCCCAGCTCTCTGCCACTCAGCGTTTCAGGAAACTTCTTTCCCGCGAACCAAATCCTCCCATTGATGAAGTTATCAGCACTGGAATTGTGCCCAGATTTGTGGAATTTCTTCAGAGAGATGGACTATGTACTTTACAAGTGAGAAAATATTAAATTGTTCTTTTTATAATTTTATGTCAATCTGATATCTTTTGTGTATATTCATGTTATAAATGAAGTGGTAACTCAGTTATCAAACATTTTAGTAATAAATAAAGTTTCACCTATTGATATGACAAGAATTTACCATAAACAGATACAAAATTCTCTAGTAAAGAAAATATCTGTGCATTCGGTTTAACGCCCGTTCTTATGAAACCTGTTTCCTCAGCCCAGCACTTGACATCATCATTTTCTCGTAATCTAACGTGTTGTATAAATTTCTGTGTGCAGTTTGAAGCTGCATGGGCCCTAACGAACATAGCATCAGGGACATCAGTACAGACTCGTATCGTAATCTCGGCAGGCGCCGTCCCAGTCTTCATCAAATTGCTCAGCTCTGAGTATGAAGACGTGCAGGAACAAGCTGTCTGGGCCCTCGGTAACATTGCTGGCGACTCGCCTGACTGCCGTGATTATGTGCTCTCTGAAAACATCCTTATGCCCCTCCTACAGTGAGTTATTTTTTTTTATATTTCACCTGCAGCCGAATTTTGCTCCAGTTTGGATATGACATATAAAATCATCCCTTTGTATTCATAGATAGCAGATTTTTGCTGTTCTTGGTTTCTCGCAATTCTCTGATGTATGGTGAAATGATTTAGAAATAATTTGCATCTGTGACGGAGATAAGTTCTTTAAATACCCTTAATTTTTTAAAAAGTTTAAAGTAACTGAAGCATCGATTCATTCTATGTCTCTGTCTTTATTTTTGCAATCTCCATTTCTTGTCATTATCTCTGGCATAAAATGAACAAAGACCTCTATCCATTTGGACTCATTCAATTGAAGCTACTTTACCTCGCAGGTTATTGGCCAAAAGCAACCGCCTGACCATGACCCGTAACGCTGTATGGGCGCTAAGCAATCTCTGCAGAGGAAAGAGCCCTCCACCCGATTTTGCTGCTGTTAGTACGAATTTATATGCATCTTACACATGTCTGTTTTATGTGTGCAAGAGCATTTCAGCTTCAACTTCTACCACTGGTTAATTTTAAAGTGAAGTTAGTGTAGTCTCCATCTTCCACCACCTGGTTCCAAGCTATTCATCCGATCGTGAATACATCAATCAGTTGAAGCTCTTATCTAAATGTACCCATTTTCTATAATCTTTATAGTGTTTCTCAAAGTCTTTCTTGCGATGTAATGATATGATTCCATTTCGTATTTTTTTTCAATCTTGTATGTTGACTCCCTATTTGACTGAAATTCGATCAATTATCAGTAGCATTACAGCTAATTTAATGCAGACTCCTAATGTTGTCAAGACATGATACTATGGTTATACATTTCGTTCTGTCCAGGTGTCGCCGTGTCTGCCAGTGCTGTCACGGCTTCTGTTTCACTCTGACCCCGATGTTCTGAGTGACGCGTGCTGGGCACTGTCTTACCTCAGTGACGGACCCAACGAGAAGATCCAAGCTGTCATTGATGCCGGCGTTTGCAGGAGACTTGTGGAGCTCTTGGTGTTAGTACATTTAATATAACAATATCCTGGCATGGATTGCTTCTTCTTTTTTTTGGGGAACATTTTAAGAAATTCGTGTTTGTTAACTGGACCAATTAGAAAATTTCATGAGGCTCGTTAAGCTGCTTTTCTTGTTGATGGGGCTTATAAGTAGGGAAAACGATTTTTAAATGTTTGCTAACTTCTTCATTATATTAAGTATGAATTAGTATTATATTTCTCGTTGGTTTAGAGACACTAAGCAACGTACAGAAAGCATATTAGTAAACGCCATCATACTACTACTTTATATTATTCCAGTGCCAGCCGGCTGAATGAAGGAACATGAAGGCTATTATATAATACTCAATACTTGTTGCAGTTCTTGAGGTGCACCAACAATTTTAGACTTTAATATTATTCACACCTAAAAGCGTGGTACATAGTCACCGTCAGTGGACAAAATTGGCGAAGCATTCTAACTTCAGTGTCTAGACAAAGGGGGGGGGCAAAGTATTCTAAATTGAGTGTTTGACAGGTACAACCAACACAGCGTAGTAGCAGCAGCACTGCGCGCAGTAGGAAACATTGTTACGGGTGATGATGTACAGACGCAGGTTATCCTCAACTGCTCGGCTCTGCCTTGCCTTCTGCAGCTGCTTGCTTCCCCGAAAGAAAGCATTCGCAAGGAGGCCTGCTGGACCATTTCTAACATCACGGCTGGCAATCGACCTCAGGTAATGTCAATCATAAATAGTCAGGATTTTTTTGGAGATATTCGTAACGGCCATTCCGCTGATATACCTTTTGTTTAATTTGAAAACTATTCATTACTTTGATATCAATATTTCGGCAAGGCCCTTAGATGTTACAATATTTTTGTCATGAAAATTTATCCAACTTGATAATTAGTGGTATCGGTATATTTTATATATGTCGTGCAGGGGAAGTTTTTCATCTTCATTCAGCTTAGTGTTAAGTTTGGTTTCAACTCTTTCAGGAACATTCTGGTCAATGTCATAAAACATGTGTGATTGAAGTGAGCAGGCATTAACACCCAATTGAATTCTTCTTGCAGATCCAAATGGTGATTGAGGCTAACATTTTCCCCGTGCTCATCGACATCTTGAGAACTGCTGAATTCAAGACCCGGAAGGAAGCGGCATGGGCTATCACGAACGCGACCTCGGGAGGCACTCCAGCTCATATCCGTTACCTCGTTGAACAGGTAACATAAAAAGATAGTCCAGCTTAACCCTTCCTCCCGTGAATTATAAAATATATCCAGCAGGAACAGACTGCGTCGCGTCATTTAGTTCATAACACATCTTTAGTAACGTGAATACAGGGTTCGTACCGGTCATGAAAAACCTGGAAGTCGTGGAATTTTATTTTTCATTTTCCAGGCCTGGAAAGTCATTGGATTTCATTTTAGGTTAGGAAAGTCATGGAATTTGCAAATAAAAGAAGAAAAAATTAGTGTTTTCTGTGCTGCGTGTGTTTACTGTTTGTGTGGTCTCTTGTTTCCTGCGTTCTGATTGGTTCTCCATTCTCCAATCACGTGAGCTCGGTCACCGAGCTCAGTTGCATTCGACAATTTTTTGATGTGCAGTGGCAGCGTTCCATCTTAGAGATGAATCACAACATTGCAGTGAACTGAACTCACAGTTTCGAGCATTTTCAACTTCTGGTCGACTGGAAACTTTTTGGCATGCCATTCTGTCAATGAGCACCTCCAAGAAGCTCTGGAATGTAGTGCCGATGCTCATGCTCCTGTCTCGTGGCCAAGCCACGGTTGACAGAGGGTTTTTGTTCAACAAGGAAATCATAACACACAGCATGAAAGGACGAACGGTGGTTGCCCTGCGTGCTGTGGTTGATCATCTTACACATGTTGGTGGCCAAGATGACATCAGGACAAGATGACCATCACCAAGAAGATGCTGCTTGCAGCTGGCAGTTCCAAAACAGCCTATAATAATTATTTGGCAGAAGAAAAAGAGCAGAATGCAAAAGCCTGAAAACCTAGAAGAGGTAGGCTTCGTTGGATGAGCTAGATGAACTGAAGAAGAAGAAAAGGCGTACGTAGGAGGGCATTGGTTAAACAGGGTGGCCCAGTGGTTAAAGTTCAGAGTGCCAAGATTGGCGCAGAGAGGTGCGGGTTCGATCCCAGCTCTGTGCGACAGTTTCTGGTCAGAATCGGCAAGGAGGCCGGGCGGTTAAGCACAGCAAAATGGGAGCAGTGAGTTGTGTATTCGAGACCGCAACAAGCTGTGAACGTTCTGCGATGTTAAGAATCGGCGACAGGCCTACGGCCTAATAAACGCTGAAACCGCTATTATTATTTATATTATTATCAAGGCGCTTGAGCAAGCAGCAGATGAATATGCAAAAGCAATGGAGAGAAAGGGCGATTTAAAAACTATTGCAAAGTTCAACGCCATGAGGCGATCTTTGAAAACAAAGCAACAGGAGCTAGACACTCTTGAACTGAACATTAAATAAAAAGTGGATGAAATAGCTGCCAGTTGAATATTAGGGTAGTGCTGTTGAAGGGTGTTCTGAACTGTATTGACATTATCATGTACAATCTTGTGTTATCAACTGTAGGAGATGATAGAATATGCACGGTTAGTCTTTTCAGTCATGATAAAAACCTGTCGTATACGAGTCTTGGAAAATTATATTGATGGTCATGAAGAGCCATGGAATATTTTTCCTAAATACCGGTACGAACATTTTTCCTAAATACCGGTACGAACCCTGTACTGATTTATGACTATATAGATGTTGAAAAAATTAAGATCTGGTTAACGTGTAAAGCAATAAATGCCGACCAAATGTTCATTTCAGGCATCCAAAATCTGAGTTCTACTGGATACGATGAATGAAGTTGACGATTCAAATTTTTTTTTTTTATAAAATATTGCACTCGTTTTTGGAACCCAGTTTATAATAATTCCTCTTTTTCCCATCAAATAACTACTACTAACTATAACTACTACCGGTACTCCGAATATTAGTCAATTATAATGTGAAATTTTTCAGAACTGCATCCCATATCTCTGCGAGCTTCTGACCGTTAACGACGTCAAGATAGTTCAGGTGGCACTCAACGGAATCCAAAACATCCTTCAGTTTGGTGAGCAAGAGGCAAAGACAACTTTCGGCGTGAATCCTTATGCTGTACTCGTGGAGGAATGCTATGGTCTCGACAAGATCGAGTTTCTTCAAAGCCACGAAAACATGGACATCTACCAGAAAGCATTTGAAATTATTGAGCACCACTTCCACGGTGAGGAGGAAGATCCTAAGGCCCTTGCAGGCGCTGTGCCTGGAGGAGAGGCTGCGGCGCCTGTAGGTGCTAACGGCGTGGTGTCTGAAAGCGGTGGCTTTGGGGGCCCCTCTGTTGCCGCAGGAGATGCAGCTTCGGTCGCTCAGCAATCGCAGCAGTTCCAGTTCACTGCTGATGGCGACAAAGCACCAGAAGGAGGATTTAATTTCTAACATATAATCGACTATAATCATAACGAAGATATTCCTAGTAATCTTTTATTATATCAATTTCGAACGCGTGGGAAGAATAGAAGTTAATTTTTTTCTCTTGGTTTCGCTTTCACTGTCCCGAACATAGTATTTCTCTCGGTGTTACGCACGATACCTTCGACCTTGTTTCTCGTCTTTAGAGCAGTAGCAGTTACTTCACATCCAATATATATGCGCGATCGTCAATGAGGATTTGTGCGAAGGCTGTCTCTACCTTGTTGCACGTTCTTGCTTGAATGTTGCCCCTGAACTGTGTTGCGATGCAATATCATTTGCGCTGCGTCTTTTATAAGTAATAAGTCTATAACTTGATTGCCCCCACTTGTTTTTTAAGTTCATCTTTAGTTCGACCGTTTCTTTCATATTCTCTTGAAGAAACTTTCGATCGTCTAATAAATTATAGCAATTGTTTTCAGAAAAAACTTTCTTCGTCACCTTCCAGCACGATTAAAAAATTCACGTCCCAGTGTTCTTATTGCTGACTGCCCACAATCTTCATGTTTTGCTAGTCTCTTCATACTTCCAGCGTCACTCCTAGGTCCATAGTCTTAAAGTTTAAACTCGTGCTATCGTACGGCTACAAGGAATTATAAAATTCTTATTCAATGCACCTAATCTATATCCCAATATCCAATTTCGAATGACACCAATTCGTAAAAATCTTGTTAATTTTTGGTTTACAACATATATTTCAGAATTGTTTGAGATTTCAAAATACTTGCACTTGGTCCGCTAAGTAGAAAGCAAGTTGTTCAGCAGAGTTTTTGCCGTGGTGAACTTGGTAGCGCAAGTTAATTGGCTATGATAGTGTCAACTACTGCCGAGTTTGCAACCGATCACATTTGTCATTGTAAAGTTTACGAATGTGGCTGGAAGTGCGTACAGTTCAAGATCTTTACTGCACAAGTGCTGCCTGCAGTTAGCTCTGAAGGAATGCAATTCCCTAGATTTGAATGTTGTGTTACCTAGCCGATTTCTTTGCTCAACATCGCCTATTTTTTTGTTGATTATCGCTTGCTGATCTTTCCTCCATTTTCTTGTATGAAACAGAATCGAGTGCTGTGGCTCTGTCTGGCTGAAATTTGATCTTCATTCCTGGACTTGAATGCACTAAATTTCAGGATTAAATGAGTTCCATGAAACTTGTCTTAGAAGACGTAAAATTTATGAATTATTGTACTGTAGGAAAGAATTTGAAAGCTGCCAATTAAGCCACTTTGACGAAAGGTAGCTTTTGAAATAATAATGCTAGGACACTATCCAAAATTTTTGATTATTTCTTAGGGTAAATAAACCTTAGTAGAAATCATTGACAGCTTTGTACATTGCATTCCACTTGAATGAATTGTGAGAAAGAATTCTATTTCATTCTTGTTAGCTCAGCGAAAAATTCTTGAAAGGAAGGGAAAAATGCAACATATCCCTCCTACGCATCTATTCCGCATTATGGAAAGACAGTTCCATGACTTTATAAAATCGCGGAAAAGTTTAGCGTCACCTAGAAGAAGCGAGTTATTCTTTTTCATAGAACTCAAGTATGACTTCATTTCTGTCGTAGCATAATTTTGAGTCAAATTTTTTTTACTTCTGCAACCCCCGGCCTGCTTGAAGTTGCTTGCTGGAAGTGTCGTTACATGTAGTAAAATTTATTTCAAGGAATTAAATTTAGGACAGCGATATTTAATGACGAATTTTTCTTCTGTTAACAGCGATGCAATAACCTCGTTGTGAATGCAATTAGAGTAAGCGTCAAGCTAACGTTTGAGTTGATCCCTTACAAGATTAATATTTTAATAGTCTCTCCTGTAAATTATCAACCACCTTGCATAGCACTCCGAGTTTATTTATTTCTAATTGGAGTTAAGGCCTCGATTAATGTTTAGACCATAAATAATAGATACGTCAATATTTCAGTTTAAGTTGCATCAATGTTATATGTGTCACTTGGGAAAATATCTTCTCTTAAAGATTTTTTGTGTGACAAGTTCTGTTGACTTGAGCCTCCTATTGTGTGAGAAAAATTTCTCTCATTGTAAGCTTCTCTCTTCTCATCGTGTGCGAAAGTTTAAACTGAGCGGAAACTTGTATTACTGCAGGTATAACTTACGGAACGATGTGTTTATGTTCATTTTGTGTATAGATGTTCAAAATTCAATTATATCTTTGCGTGAACTTGGCTCGGTTGATGCGTGAATTATTTCTTCGCGAGTGTAGTTATTGCAATAGACAAACAACTTTTTCTTCTAAGACTATCTTCTAAGTGATGTACTTTAGACAACCAACGGTTTTCTTCTTATTTTTTGTTCTTTTAAAATTTGATCGACAGAACATCTTTCAAGTTCTTCAATTAGCCTGTATGAATTTATTTATTCTTTTATTGTTTTTTTTTTGTGTGATCTGTTAAATTAATTTACGAAAAGTATTTACTAAGGAAATAGAACTCCATTCAAAAATGCTTCAAACTATGGTTCATCGTAGCTGTTTTCTTCCGTTCTTCAGCACGAGTCTGCTTCCTTCTTCCTCATTTAGTTACTAATTCATATGTGGTCAAGAAATTTCGTTTGACATTACAATTGTAGGGTTCAAAGAATCAGTTAAGTGTAATCCTACCACGGCAATTGAAAACGGTTCAAACTCACCACGTTCTTGTTGATATTGTCCACTTGTAAACCTGAAAGCTTTGTTATTTTTACTTATTCATATTTTATGCCTTTACCTTTGCGTATGCGATTTGTATTGTGCAAAACTAGAATTTACTGGCATGTAATATCTTCTCTGTATTCGCAATTTTTTCATGCATTTGTGCTAAAGCGTGTTGCTGCATCCATACCTGCGTTACAAGTTAAAGCGTACAGTAGAATGAATGCCTCATAGATGTTCATGCTGAGGATGTACAGTGATGACTTGGGCGCATGAATGCAATGAACTGAATTGCTTTTCTTCGTGGTGGCAAACTATTTTCTATTTTCTGGTTATTTACTCACTGAAAAATAATGGGAGGGCCACGAAAGTACTCTATGATTTGCCACCATGCATCCATTGTATGTAAGATTATGAGACACTTGTTTGTTAATTAGTGAAGTGTGCTGCACCTCAGGTATGTGGCAGCTCATGTGTATATATGATTATTTTGGGCGCTTGTATAAATAAAAAATAAACCCGAACGTGATGCCTCAGTGATAGAATGCCTGACTTCTGACTTGTTCTGAGTGTTTTATCTAAAGAAGGAATTAATGTAAATGTGAATGAAAATAGTAGCATAGAAAGATAAAAGTGAAGGACTGAACTGAAGAACGTCTGTTTTCTGGGTTCATGATGTCTGTTTACCTTTTGAGACATTTTTTCTTACATATGAATCAGTTCTTAAGTTAAACATTAAGATTTATGAATGTGAATCTCTGTGCGCCGCGACGATTAAATCTCCAAATGCCGTTTGTTTCCACGTGTTTATATGCCTTGAGTGATGTTTTGTAAGCGGCTGATACTAGAGATATAATTCATGTGAAATGCGAGTGATAATGTGCCTACTTTCAAGACTTGCTTCAAATTTCATGCAGCCAGTAAAAATTTTTGTCTCTAGTCTCATCCGGTCAGCAGCATTTCCATTGAAATTTGTTGCGTGCTGAAAGTGACACTAAACGCGACGTACGGGTTTTGTATTTTGATGTTAGTGAGCTTGTTATGCGTTGCCAAAACCTTGTTGAATCTTTTGCTATAAATAATGCCTGATGACATGTTCGAAATGCGCGAGAGCAACGTTGTGTAGAGGCTGGTTTCTTGTCCACTTGACTATCGTCAGGCCTGCGTTTCTTTGAAGCACATAATCTAGTACACCCATTTGGAAACGCGCGTCTTTTCATTCAGTTGACGGTTCATACTCAAACATTTGTGTATAACATCCGTTTGTGGACGGACAAGCTATTCAAAATTTTTGTATAAAATCCTTTTGTGGACGGACAAATTATTCAATTCCATTATGATGAGAACGCACTCGTTTACAAGTCAAAGCTACTCCGCAGATCTGTGTTGCGGTGAAAAAATGGTTTTAATTTCATATTGATCGAACTGTCTCGTGTAATATGACGTAGATGATGTAGATGATTTCTTCTGGGTTTAATAGAAATGAAATTAAATAAGATCATGTGACGACTGTGGAAGGGAACCAGCTTTCATTGCGGTTAATTGAGCGTCTAATGTTAAGGATTGTATGACACGTGTGTAATGAGGTAAAATAATCTTTGTTTGTGAGAATCGTCAGGACTAGGATAAATATTGCTAATGTTCCTCAGGGTGAAGTGCGAAATGCGTCGACCGGTGGTGGTCTGGTGATGCTAGCAGGAATGGTAGGGGTGACGGTGTACTGGTTGGAATTGTGTGTACTAGTAAGAATGCAAGAGGCTGTGAACTACGTTGTATAAGAGGCCTTCTGTGATTTGCGTGTTGTCATGACTGGGAGATAGCGTGTCTCGCTTGAATAAATGTATTTCAATTTCTTATCGTTTTTATCAACCCATCCATATAGTTGGCTTAATAACGATAAATATTTAATAAATATTCCATCCCACCCGTGACTCTTGAAAAAACGTCATGTTTCCACTGCTGAAAATTTGGAAGGAAATGTACTCGTCTATAGTTGAATATATTTAATGTTATGCGCGCTCAGAGTTGCCTTTTAGGTAACGTTCGAATGGACGCTCGCATAGACATCTTTAACGCAAGTTTCATGCAGGAGTCGGCGTTGACGCTATTCATATCGCTGTTATTAATTTGTTGCTATTCAAAATTATCTTCAAAAGACATTCCCTTATTGCGTCTTCACTAGGACAACAAGACTGCCGGGATCCCCTGGCTAGGAATGTGAGCTTTGCATGCCAAGTGACAATCTCAGAGAAGTAAAACCGAAAGATCCTTTTAGCTCAATACTTACTATACTATCTCCTGCTCTGCTGAATCTAGAACGCTCCAGTGGAGCACATTTCCCAAGTTTCTCGTCATGATGATTATCGGGAAAATGTGAAAGATAGAACGAATGTTGAATAACGGTGACAGCTTTAGCGTAGAGACAGCTTTTCTATTGAAATACCGGGCATTAATTAGTATCAATAAGACATTAATTAGTTTATTGGATCTAACGCATTGCGCAAAGCCCTGGGTCGCTTTAACGTCTTTTTCTGTAGGCTTCTACATAGTCTATGATCGAAATACGAGATGATAAAATTGACTGTCGCTGTATATTCATCCCTTCGGTCTGTCGAAAAATGTTAACAAGTGGCGTACGAGATTCAAGGTGGAGTAATCGTGATGATGTGAGCCTTGACTGAGGGTGATGGCCTAAAGTTTCAACTTCAATCGTTTCGAAGCCGCTTATCCAGTGTTCGGGAATATAAATTCTAAAATCTGCAATTCTTATCTCACTTGTGTTTTTGCAGTATATTTATTATTCTTTACTGAGAATTTGACGTTTAAATTAAATTTCTACAAACTTTTCAGCTTGCATTTCTTATGAGTCATTTCCTTTCGCGAAGACCAACGTTTTTGCGGTAACGTTTTTGCACAGTGCAACTTTATGGTAATATATTTTTCCTCTGAATTACGTACGAGTTCAATAAATTACTTATTAAAGTAATTACTGATGAACAGTGGTAGAGTTTATGGATAAATTATTTTCGAACATTTTATTAAAATGTGGATACGTTTCAATCAAATTAATGAATTATTCTACACATTCTCGTGAAACTTTCTTTGCTTAGCTGAATATTTGTCACAAATGAAACCATCTGAAAGTTAAAAACGTGAGTTGTAATAATTTTATGCATTTGAAGTAATTTTTTATTCAGTATCTTTCTCTTTAAACGTTTTAAATTCTCTTTAAACGTTTTAAATTACATTTAAACAGACGGCTTCCACCCCAGATTACTCAAAGAGTTAGCAACTGTCCTAGCCGGCCCTCTGACGTCACTTTTTCGAAAAACTTTGAACGAAGGAATGTTGCCGGCTGACTGGAAAGAAGCTCAAGTGACACCATTGTTCAAAAAAGGTGACAAAAGCTGCCCGGGCAACTATCGCCCTGTCAGTTTGACAAGTGTCGTTTGCAAGGTAATGAGCTCCGAGTATGAACATCTTCAAAAGCAGACTAGACGAAGCTATGCAGGAGCATATGTTCAGTCTTAAAATGCCTAGCAAATTACGGAGCAGGCAATAAGTCCAGCAGCTATCTCAATCAATCGTCAGTTATGGAAAGATCGGGTTCCAAAGGCCGGATCCCTTGTGAATCACGTCACGAAAAGTTCAAGAATCGGCAACAGGCCATGGGCCTATGTCTTCAACGCCGACACTTCTTCTATTCTAAATGCGATTACATCACAAATGACCTGACTTCATCAATGAAATAATTAATTATGGATTAAAATCTATGGGAACGCACTTGAAAAGAGCAACCATGTCTCTCCTGGGGGCATATTTGAAAAAGTTTTCGTCCGAACTTGGGGGAAAGCTATAATAACACTGTTTCTAATCGGAATACTTTAATAACATAGCAAAGTAATATCGTCGTTGAAGAATATGCTTGTTGGCCTGATAATGGGTATTATTGTATTGAATGGTACTTCGTCGTGCGATACAACCGTACGACCTGGAACGTCGTGCGGTACGGCCGAACATTTCTTCTCAAATATAAATTAATTAAACATACAAACATCAATTAGGCAATCTCATGTTGGCTCCTAGCGTGAAGATTAACCCAAACTTTTTTACAGAAAGCTGGCCGAGCTGGCGATTACTGTTCAAGAAATGTACGTGTGAGCGAAGTTACCGATAAAATCAACATATGATTAGCTGAACGGTAGCAAGCGAACAATATACCCGAATCGTAACTTTGGATGTAATATTCCCATATAATTGCTAAGGGCACCATTAAACCTGTGAGGTGACCATCAAGTCTAAGTTCGAAACTCTTCGAACCCAGAGTCCAGCTCGCTGAACATGGAAACAGAGCGATGGAAGACGGCGATTTACTAGCGGCTATGGTCCTATAACCGAGAAATGGGAGGCGGAGGTTTGTTAAAAACCATCACACTTGATTTAGCAGCTATTGTCCTCACATGTAAATAATCTGTTTTGTTACGCTTTTTTAAATTATTTGAAAAAGAAATATACACTAAGAAGCAATTGGAAAAATCAACGGCTTAGAGGTGCATCACCACTAAGAACGAGAAACTTTTAGTAGAAAACTAAATAGAATTAAGTATATATTCATTTGCATTGTTTACCCTATAATACTTAAAAAAATATAACTCAGTACTCACTGCAGTGAGAGACAGAGAGCGCATTTTCTCGTCGGCGAAAATTTGAGGTCACGGACGGACGGACAGACGGACATGGCGAGCACAATAGTGCATTGTTTCCATAAATGAGAAAATGCGCTAAAAAGGAAATATCCCAGGTAAGTAAAATTTTTTGGATATGAGTAATTATTTATTGGTTCGATTGTTCAATTGTATAGCTTAAACGCTAAAACAAGTTATACAGTATGTTCCATCTTTATATACTTAACTCCATTATACAAATTATGGATCACACACAAGACCAAGTTTTATAGTGTTAAAAACTAAAGCCAAAGAACGATGGCCTATTCATGCTAACTGATCTGGAGCGATATACTCATGGCAACTGTCTTTATTCTAATATTTGCGACACGTGCGGCGAGGAGTAGTGCTCTTTATTTCCTTTATAAACGTCATAGCAAGCAAAGTGTCACACGAAATCTAACTTTCGTTCACACCAACTTTATTTTGTGGAAAGTTTTAGATTTTTCAAACAATCGGTGAATTTTAACCTTAAATTTTAGTAACATGCATGGATTGGGCAGCAATTCGTAGCTGTTTGTCTTCCAAACTCGAATTGCTCTCGACAATATTTGTTGCTCATCGGTGCGAATGAACAACGTTTGATGCAAAAATATTATCACTATAATTACAAGCGTCAGGGTAAGAAATATAACCACGTACTCATTTTAAAGACATACCAAATCTTGGACTTGCCATCGAAACTAAAATACATCGAATATTCAAACTTCCATAAGTCGGTTATTAAACCATTAGTTGAATACATAATGATGTGCTGCACGGTGCACCCCTGCAGGTGTTGCACAAAACTCATTCTTCGTAGCTCACTAATTATTCTTTGGCGTACCTCGACAACGGCATTATCATGCGATGTACCAGAACGAAGTTTGTGTCGCCGCCAAGACTTTAACTAACCTAACGTAAGCGAAGAAATCTGCCATGAAGCGATGCAGTCTCGGCGGCTGAAGCCATACATCAGGGCGTGGCTGTTTGGAGAGACGTTTCATGCTGTTCAGTCTACGACACTTTTCACCCATTTAAACGGCTCGGTTTATTCGGCAACGATCATCAGTCTTGAAACGACCTGCAACCCAACCTTGGACGTCTCGGTTACGTTACACGAGCTGATATTATCCCATAGAAGAGTTCAATGTTATGGGAATCAATAGTGTGGCTGTTCTTAAAATCACTGAAGGCTAAGGTTGTGAAGGGTGCTTCTGAGAAAATTTATTTTCTAATAGAGGTTTATAGCATGCTACGTCTTGCAGTTGTTAGAATTCAATTTTCCTCTTGCAGATCATCTTATCTATTTTTAGAGCAGTTTAGAGATAAAACAATAGAAAAAATGTCTAATGAGCGTGACAGCCGACGGATTCGGCCATTTTCTACCATTTACAAAAAGTTTGCCTCAACGACGAACGCGCGATTGATTTCTGGATGACCGACTTCGATTGATTTCTGGATGACCGGATGATGAATCAACCGCTTCTAAATTGCGATGCAATTGTTTGACTGATTATCTTGCGTCCACTGCTTGCTTGTGACTGTCAGAGGCGGGAACAAAAATTCAACACCCTAGATCCGTTCGGTTCCTCTCCAGTCCCCTAACTTCATATTTTAAAGTTTTTTTATATATCGCTCTCAATATTTCCGATGATTCAACACCCTCTCTCTTCGATCCGTTCCCTCCCCTAAGTTCATATTTTATAGTTTTTTTAATACGTCGCTTTCAATATTACCGCCGAATGTAAAAAAAAAAAATGCCTTGATGATCGTCCCAAAATATCAAAAGGATTTGGCATCATTTTTTTGTTTGATAATTTGCTTTTTTTTTCTTCAAGCATAGTTTAGATTATGTTCCTTTTTATTTATTTTGATTACCTAAGTATTATCGACAGCATTTTAACATAAATAATCGCTTCTTCAGCGTTATAAAAAGGAACTGAAAATCATTGTTAATTATTTTCTTTGTAAAACATGAATTTGTGGTTCCAATATCGAATTTTTTCTAATGCACATGTGCTCTGAAAGTATATTTCACAACATTATTGAAAAAAGTAAGTTATATACTGGAAATTAACTTATGCTCCCTCGTTATTTAAATTATGCCGGAGTAACGAGACACAAATTTATGAACAACGATTATATC